ACACTTGTCAGATAACATTGTATTACATGTAATATTGTAGGATCTTAACCTTCGTATCAAAATTTGTTTGGTACATTTGTGACTCCAGTGTCGTTGCTCTGTTGGAAAACACTTTGGGTCTTTTGTTTTCAATGCGCTGATCATTCTGTATAAGCACGTTAGAAAACATTTTTTGTCTGATTTGTGTTAGTAACTGTATGTTTACTTGTTTTACAATGTTGACCTTTAGGATGCAAAAGCAGCTGGATTTGTGATATACAAAAAAAGATAATCAGTTGTTGTCTACTGACCAATCAAATCAAACCACAGGTGCTAAAAGTTTCTTTCAAGAGCCCAAAAAGAAGAACAAGGCATGAATTCTGTGCTCCTTATGCCAACTGATGATGGATTTTATTATTGGATGACGCTGGGCTTGTTTAATCTCATTGTTTTACTTCCAAATCACGAGCAAAAACTGGACGTAGCCATTTTGGACCAATGCTTCTGTGTTCATTCTGGTCCAAATTCTTAGAAAGTATCTCTGATTGATCCTCTGGTTCGTCTCCATTGATGTTACAGCCGTGTATCTATGAGGACATGTTGTCTTTTCCAGTATCCAGGAACGCGAGCCAACCCCTCCAACTCGCCGAGGCTCATCTGCCTCCCACCTCCTCATCCAAATGAAAATAGTTGTCCATTGTTTCCATGGTAACAGCTCGGGCATAGATACAGCATTATTGACGGTACTTATAGGTGCCTCTTTCTGGTCTCCCACAGATCTAATGGATCGGTTGTGTGTCGCTGGCATGTGCTGCTTCATGACTGTGCGTTCACATGTCCAGTATGTGGACACGTCGTAGTATCTGACACTTGTTTTAAGGATGGAGGATGTGTGGGTGTAAATCAGAAAGCTTTTCTAGAATAGTTTGCTGTCGTGTGAGGTGTGTATTTGTGTGTTAACTAGAACATCCAAAGTATTCCTTGGGGCCCTGTGCTGATTCAGAGCCCTATATTCAGGCTTAATGTGTCGGTCCCTGTGCTTTCGCTGTCCCTCCACCTCACTTAGTCCATTCACAGCATCACTACCCCCCAAAGTTTGTATGAAGGATGTAGTCACTCGACATAATCTCGAGCTTGTTATATTTTTGACATTTCCAGTCACCCCTCTCCGTTTAGCAGGCTTTTATGTAAGGCAGCTTACCTCAAACCCACACTGCCAATAAGTTACAGTAATAAACAGCTCTCCACCTCCACTACAACTGAACCAGTTCACAGCCAACTAATGAGTTAGCTTCTGCAGAAAGTTCTCTTATGACATAAATTAACTGGATGTACTTTTTTAGGCAGTGTGTAGGTTGCATGTTGCAACTGAAGAGCCAAAAGATTCTTATTTAAAGGCAAAAGCTCTCAGTGACTTGTACAAAGCTTGCAACTGGGCATCGAATATAGCAACGGCAAACAAAGTTGCCCTCAAAAAGACATTCATTCAAAGTAGTATCATCCGGATCAAAACGTTCTTTAATAGTAGCTTCTAGTTAATGCACTGGAACTTGAGTGGAATGACAAAAAAGCTTAGTTATGTCAGAATGTACCCAAGATGCACATGTTGAAGGTAAAAATGTGACCAGTTTGGTGTAAAATTAGAAAACAATAATATGAAAGACATATGTTTTTACACGACTTTGACCTTTCATCTGTGTAACCTGAACTCAGCAATCTGTGAAGTCTTTAATCTACTTAATTGTGTGCATGGACACGGATAATATAAAATATAATTGGCCAGGGGTTTTGTTTCTGTACTATTAATCAACACAACTTTTAAATCGCAACATGACACTTTTAACCCTCTCAACTTGAAAAGCACTGGGTTTGAAAGGCATGCTATCTTTTAAAAATGACCAAAATTACACCATTTATCAGAACTTCAGACTGTAAAAACAGAAAGAATTCTCGGCTTTTCAACTTTTCGATGGTCTGTCAGCTAATCAAGTGTGACGTGCAATTCTGTGTGGGAAAATGAAGCAAATCTAAGCTCAGAATTGTGACAATTCATCAAATTCACTTTATTCTGCATGTTTCTTTTTTTCTAAATCTCCAAAATTAGCAGTTTGCACCAGATCCTGTCAAAAAAAAAAAAAAAAAGATAAAAATAAAAATGTGCAACTGAGAGTATGTGACTGACTCAGCGGTGACCAATAGTGACCTGTCAAGAATTCCGTACATGTTTGGTTGAACTGCAGGATGTGTTTCCACAGAAACAAATTAGAGAGACTGAGCGCAAAATAAAAAGATGCAAGAACAATAAAATAAATGCAGCATGGCTCCAAAACAGTAAACAGAGGAACAAGTTGTTGCAAGATACACTCAGCATGGTGAAACATTTTTCTATAGTAGATGCGCAAAACAATGTGAAAATGCTGAATGTGTCGAGGTTGTAAAGATGTAAGTCAGATACTAACTGACACCACTGTCTTTTTCTCCCCAATGTTTGTAACAACTATGGGCACTCGAAAAATGGTGGCATATGTTGATTTCTGAAATTCATCTTTTGTTTTTACTTTGCTCTGATTTATGGCATCCTAACTGTGTCATAGGGAACAGAAGACATTTCTGAGTACCTCCAGTCATGGTTGTGCTGTTTCTGTAGAGCTGCAGGACTTTATATTGCAGTGAAAAATGAGCAAAAAAGCATACAAACTGACAGTGAACTTGTATTGAATAATTTCTTATTATTGTCATTTTATTTGGCAACTTGTTGCATTAGATATCATCTGGGTTGTGTTGTTTTATGTTAGACATTTTGGTTTTAACAATGTAAAGAACATTTTATGCTCATGTCCTTTCAATCTCACTTTTATTTGCTGTTGTATGGCTCTAAATCTACTTTGAACGACACGCTGGGTATCAGTTATACAATAAGGCCTCCTGATGACTTGTACATTCATATCTGTGGACCTATTTCTATTCAAATTCTATTCAAAAGCGTCTCAGTATGTGGTGGGATGTTTTTCTTGTCTCAGACTGAGCACAAGGCCCGTCTGTGCTTCCCCCGTTTCTTTCGCCATCCTGCGTCACTTACATTTCTAACAATTATCTGATTACAGCGTTGGTGCCGAAAATGGATCAAGAGTTAAATATAGAGCATCTGGTCCTCACTATAGTTTTATGGCTGTGCTTCCCACACAACCTGCCACGTATTTACTTGTTAACCTAATTACACGGCCGCTCACTCTGCGGTCCACCCAGACAGCTAAAGTTTCCTGCTTCTTGACGTCAGATGTGCTATTTGATTTCTGCAGAAAATGTGCATCTGCGCACACATATGCATGCACAGACACACACGCACACACAAACACACGTGCTGTATAAACCAACCCAAGAAGTTTTATCCCACATTTAGTAGCAGAAAATAGAGCTTCCTAAAACAGCTGAGACTGTTTTGAAGCTTCGGGGTAGTTTGGAGGACGTTTCCAACGCGATAACTTGAGGACATCCTCAGGAAAGGCTTTATTGCAAGTTTATTTTGTCCTTAGAGCAGTAAAACTTCATGGACAGTCAGACTAAAGCGTTCCACCGGACTTCTTCAGAATCAGCTGTTTTTTTTGTGTGCAATAACTTTAGTGTATTTAATGAAGTCGTGCTAAATTTTACCTTCACACTATGAATATTTTCTGAGTTCCAGGCCCTCAGAGTACATAGATGTGTGTTTAAATTGCACGTTTTAATTCATGTCACTTTTCCCAGCATTTCTGAGCCTCTTAATGTCACAAGTACAGGAGATAGAAACATTAGAAATTGTCAGGGCTGAAAAACACATTTTAAAAACTGCAACCAAATTAGTTTTGCATCCACTCCAGGTGTCACAACCTAACACTGAAGTCGCACTTTAGTTCACGATTGTTTCTCTGAGCATCAATGTCATGGGATATATCATTGTTTTACCAGCAAAACTACCAGTCTGTGACCAAAAGGAATAGAAACAAGCTAATTAAAGGTCTCATTTTTACCTATGTTTTGATACCAGGCTCATCTTCTGACCATGATTCCTTAAATGTCAAAATAATTTTTCTAATCCAGGTTTATTTTGAAACTGTGTTAACACTCGCAAATGTATCGTCTGGCTGTGAAATGGAGAAACATTCGTGTTTACATGTTTTACATAATAGGTTGGACAAAATCAGATTAGTCAAACCAGTTTGCAGCATTCAGTGCTTGTTTGAGAGTCTTTCAGTTTCTCCTGTGATTGTGTTAAATTCTTGTTCTGTCACTTTGTTCTGCTGCCCTGTTTCTATTGTCAGAACACTGATCATGTGTAATCTTGGTGTTCGACACTTGTCTTTTCTACGGGGCAGGAAAAGGATGCTGCAGGAAAGATCCGGGTTATTAGTTCTTTGAGTACATTTTTCCAGTGAATCATCCTTAAAGATAAGAACACCCAGGATACCAATGCTTGTTTCTATGACTCTGTGTCATAAACATTAAACTGCTCCAGTTTTTCTATTGCCATTATATTGCTTGATATTGATTGATTGCTGAAAAGCAAAAAAAAAATAGACTTTCACATTTCAGCTGGAGTGGATGTAAAATTGCTCAAATGCAATTTTCTACCCTGCAGTTCTAAAGATCTCATGTGTCTAGGACTCAAAAATGCAGGAAAAGTAACACTCATTAAAAAGTGCAACATTTTGACCCATCCTTATAGATGCCAAGGGCTTGTAACTCTGAAAACATTTATCGAGTGAAGGTGAAATTTACCATGGCTTCATTAAATGTACCAAAGTTGTTGTACATGAAAGAAGCAGCTGATTCTAAAGGGGGTCAGATGGGAGGCACTGATCGATTGTTGATCAAATTAGACATGAATACAGGGTCAGAGGTCATTCTGGACGATGGAGCAGCAGATTTAACCTGATTGCAGAAAGTAGAGTGGGTTTAGCCATTTGCTGATACCAATCTAATTGTTTTTGATGTATTGATCAACTTCCCTGGGTAATCCCGACTTGTTATATGTTTCTCTCCAGTGTGCCGTAAGAGCAGCAACACAAGGCCGAGTCCTGGTCCTGGAGGGGCTGGAGAAGGCCGAGAGGAACGTCCTTCCTGTCCTCAACAACCTGCTGGAGAACCGAGAGATGCAGCTGGAGGACGGACGCTTCCTCATGTCGGCCGAGCGTTACGACAAACTGCTGCAGGTCAGAGCAGCACACTCGCCTTCAAAACCCTCCAGAGTAGAAAGTAAACATCGTGCTGATCTGTTTGGAGATGACACAGCTGAGCGTGACAGACTTCACTCCTCTGTATCTGGGTTTATATTAGGAAAATCATTTTTTTCACAGATGTTGTTTATGGAGCCGTGTCTGTCTGAAACCTCACACTTAAGCAGTGAATTTTCACACTACTCCTACTGCTGCCACAAATACTGTGCGACATTCATGCAGCTATGTACCTGCAGCCCTTGGAGTAAAACTACTATAAAACGTGTCTAATGAAAGGAATTTCCTTGGTGTGTGATGCATTGATGCATTGCAGGAGCACACCAAAGAGGAGCTGGACAGCTGGAAGATCGTCCGAGTAAGTGAGGATTTTCGGGTCATCGCTCTCGGTCTTCCTGTTCCCAAATACAAGGGCAACCCACTGGATCCTCCTCTCCGCTCTCGATTCCAGGCCAGAGACATCTATTACCTGCCTTTCAAGGTCGGTCCACGAATTGACAGATTATCTAACACCAACAAATGTCTAAATTTCCTAAAATATCTCAAGAGTGACAGTATAGTTGGGTAAAAAGCTCATTTTGTTTTCCCAGTGACCTGTGCACACTAAACAAACATTCACTGGAACCACGTTGTACTGAAGAAATAGCAGATAATGATGTTAATTAGCTGTTTATTTTAAAGGTCCCATATGGGGAAAATTCCCCTTTTTTTGTTTTTGTTTTTGTATGTAAAAACCTAAAAGGTATAAAATCAAAGTTATGAAAATGTGAGGACACCTTCTTCTGCCCTCTTTTAACTAGATGGCCTCCTACAAATGAGTAAAAACTTTATCTAGTTTCTACAAAGAATCTGAGGAACCGATAGAGCGAAAACTATGTATAGCTCCGCCCCCTTGCTGCTTCCCGGTGACTGTTCAGAACAAGCAGCTGCCTCACAGTCCACCAGATTATTATACTTTCTGCTTCTGCTAACTCTAAAATGTCTCAGCCATGAGCAGAGTCCACTAAATGTTGTACTTTTGGCTGCAAGAGTGAACACAAGAGCCCTCATGCACTCCTAGCATTACTATTAGCTTTGATGGTATGCCCATGTTTCAGAGCTCTATGGAAACTAACACTGAGGGTTATTCAGAAATGGTGGAAGCTTGAATTTGAAACCAATAAACATGGACTGGGTGAGTTTTGTAGGTTTTCATAACAGCCTAAATTCAGCCAATTACATCAGTCATCTTCTCTCCTGCTACTGCAGATTAATACAGCTGAATTAACAATAGTGCTGTTCTCATTTACATACTTGTCTGCTTTTGTTGTCAGACAGCACAAGTGTGAAAAAATGACTAAAATGCAGCACATTCAGACCCACATGTTAACCAGCAGTCTCTTCAGAAGCACAAACTACTGATTTTATAACCAAACAGCGTCTGACAACATCACCAAACACGTTAGTTAAAAATGGCTGCCATGTGAATTCAGAGATATTTCCATATCAAATGATTTCTCAGAGAGAACGTTAGAAATGAGCCCTGGTTCATGTCTGTGTCACCTGGTCAACTGTTACGCTGTCAATCACAGGCACAGGGGGAGTCTTCTTTCTGAAGGGGGCGGGGCTAGCAGCCGCTCAGCTCTATTTAATTTGTTTAGAGCAGGAATAAAAGCAGGAATTATTCAGTCATGGTGAAATGAACCGTTTTTATGGTAGTTTGAGATGAAAAATTTAAAGACTGGGTACATTAAGGACTTAATAATTTGCTGAAAAGTGGCACAATATGGGACCTTTAAAGCAAGCCAGAAAAGAACCTGTGAGTAACTAGTAGGCTACGCCTGTTTTTGAATGTGTCCAAAACATGTATTCGCTCCCTCAGCAAACAGTTTTCAACAGTAAATCTTTGAGAAATGAAGCCGATTTAAGTGCAGAGCCCTGCAGAAACTCTCCTCTTTGTATTTTTAGGACCAGTTGGAGTTGTTGTACACAGCAGGACCAAATATTGCTGCAGAAAGGTAACCTGCTGACACTCGTCTCATGTGTTTTTAGTCTTGGTACTCGTTCATGTGGAGTCATACAGCATATTGTATACTGTGTGTCAGGGTGTCCCAGCTGCTGTCACTCGCCACAACCCTGTGCTCCCAGGAATCCTCCAACCTCGGCCTCCCAGACTTCCCAGTGGACAACCTGCTTCCTGCCCTTAATGTCCTGGTGAGATGTGAAAGAGATAAAAAAAAAAAAAAGATTAGCTAAGAATTAAAAGAAAAACCATGTGTCTAATGCCTGTTTTTTCTGTGTTGTTGCAGAACGCTTTCCCAATGTTGTCATCCCAGCAGCTCGTCCAGAGGCTTTACCCCTACCACAGTATCTTGGGAAAGGATGGGCGTAACGCTGTTGAGGGAGTACTGAGTGTAAGCCATGATGTGAAGCACCAGTCAGAATGTGGTTTTCTCTAATGTGCATGCTTGTTATGGTTTGAACACAAGATATTTCAACGCATCAATTATTAACACATGCTCTTTCGCAGCGGTTTGAGCTTTTGGACGGTCGTCGTCAGCCAGCACCCAGCGCCATTTTGAATGTTTCCACAGCAAAGGACATCGAGGGCCATGCAGATGTTACACTAAGGGTCGCGAACAAGGACGTCACCTTTCAGGTATAAGACTGGCTGTAAACAGTGCAAAAAAAGCCTCAAATATTTCAGTTTGCCCAGGCACACTACATTACTAAACATGAACACATTTGATCGCAGGTTTCAAGACGTCCTTGTCATTGCAAAAATAGCATAAATTTTTGCATATTTCTTATGTATTTTTGCACAAAAGCAGCCAAAACATATATTATAAGTCAGCTTTTGCAGCATTTCAGCAAAGAAAGTTATGGGATTACAAATTATATATAAATTATGCACAATGATGCATGTTTTTTTTTTTTTAGTAGGCAAAAAAATTAAATTTTCACCAACATTAGGTTCCTACTGTCCTTTTTCTGTATCACCTGCAGGTTTTACAACACTTTCACATGACCTCACTCATTCATACAGTCTGAAGGGTTCAGTAGCTACAACGATTTAGATGAAGCATTTTTGTTCTAAAATAAAGAGAGGAGTGGAACAAAAGTGATGCTTGCATCGAGAAATATTGAGAAAAATGCGTTGTTTGTGTCCTTGCAGCTTTAAAAATTCATTTTTGTTTCCAGAAATGATCTGCAAGGTTGATTTTTCTGAAGTATTTTAAATTCCGTGTTGCATATATCCACACTGCTTCCTGAAATCTCCTTAGTTGTAAAACAGAAATGAAAAGCAAACATGAAGCAAGATGAAAATGTTTGACACAAATATATTATGATTTCAGAGTAAATAATCTCAGTGTGCAACCACCAAAACTCTGTTAAATTATGACCTCATGTTTGCGACAGAGCAGAGTCATCTGCATGGCAGACCACCCACAGACAGACAGACACAGTGTAACAGTAGCTTGACCACTGGAATCATTATACAAACAAATACATAAATCTTTAAACAAGAACACGTTCAGTTTTCTGTATTTTGCATATTTTATAGAACTAACTTCTGCTAATTTGGTTACCCTCATCAAGTACAGAAATGTTTGTCTTGTTGATAAGATTACGCACAGTTTAGCTTCTCCTCCTCTTGATGTCAAAGCAACTACAAGCACAGCGAATAGAGGTGCAGCTGGAGGGAGAACTACATGGTCTCACGCAGGAGAACAACGTTTAGTCAGGATGGCTTTTCTTTTCATAGGATTTAAAACCACAGCCAATTAGACATCCCCATCTCATTACTTATTTAAGCATAATGGCTTGTTGAGGGCAATCAGTGTCGACACTGATGTCTTCCTCCACCTTCAACAACATAATACTCGTATCGGTGTCTTTAGGTGTACAACGCTGTGTTTTCTGAACTTCATTATGCTATTCTGTGTTGGGAATGCTAATTTGTAATTTAGTGTTTTTTTAAGGGACATTAACACAAGACAGATGGAAGTTTCTTTCCTCCCGATCCAACTGAAGTCATCGAATATTTAGCACCTGACGACATTGAAACCCAATTCCATACCGTTTACATACACTGCAAGTATTGTAGATAAGCTGTAGTACCTGGTTGTACCACCAGGTGGAGCCTCTTACTGTTTAGCGTTGTAACAACCAGAGGAGTTGTTTTTTGTTTGTTTTTTTTTGCTAGCAGAGAGAAATATGGCGGTTTAGCTCATAAAGGAGCACCATGACACAGTCCTCTGTGCTACTTAATGACATCCGTTAGCGCAAATGTATCCATGACTTAAGATGTCAATATTGGCATTGGACAAATCTTCAATGTACCCTGCTAATATTATAAGTCAGTCACTTATTGATCAATAATGCTGCATTTAAAAAAAGAAAAATGACAATAACAAATTTTCCACACCTGCATGACAGTGGATTTAAACAAAGGAGTGGACATAGGTTTATGCTGATGCCCATCAGTAAAAAATTGCCATGATCAGCCTGACGTCACTACAAAACAACAAGGGCATTAAAATAAATCACATAATCAAGAGCCACAATAGCTCAGACTAAACAGAACCACAACATCATCTCTGTAGCATCCACAATAACAATGATTCAAACACCTAGGAGCACATTACCACCCCTAGAAGGAGTCTAAAAACCAATTCACAGATCCAACTTGGTGACAAAAGGAAAATCCCAATGTCACAGTCAAAGCAAAAACAAAAACAAATACAATAGCCTTGTATTAAAATGGAAGTTGATGTAACTATTACATTGTGCCCAAATTACACATTTCAGATGTCTAACCTCATCAACCAAACACACTGCCAATAAAAACTGGCCTTTTGGCATTTATTTAATGATGATTAAAATACCCCTTTTTTTCCATTTTGCAAATTAATAAATGAAAACTAAAAACTTATCTCCCACTGATACTTTAAACTTCTTTATCAGTCTGTAATTCTTCTTCTCAGAAGAGAAAAGGCATCAGTGTTTGTGGATGTGTTGCAGTGTGGGATTTGGAAAAACACCGATCCGTTCCAGTTTTCTAAGAATAGCGAAGCTGATCTTCCAGCCAAACAAATGATATCACTCTTAGTAACTCTTTGAAGCTTCTTTATGTGTGGCAGTAATCCTTTTTGGTGCTGGATGTCTCAGGGATTGTTCGATAACACTCACTGGGAATGTATAGTTGTTTTTGTGCCCAGCTTTACGTTCGGGATGCTGATGATTCTGTGAATCATGGTTTATTTAAAGTTTGCATATAATGGTTTTGTTTCTTTCTTTCAGTGTGTTATAGCTTTTTTATTGATGTGAAAGCTCCTAAAAACACTGTCAAGACTTCTCTTCTGTCACTTACCTACACCACCATGTAGTGTTGCTAGTTTTTTTATGGTTACCATGTGAAGTAATACTTTTTTCTGTGATGTTATTGAATTCATTATCATTTGCAGAAGTACAGATTTTTTTTGTGGACATTGTTTGCAGTTTTGGCCTGTTTTTGTTTTTTTATGGTAAACATTCAAATAATTTATTTTTTTTCTGTGATTTTACTCAATGTTATCTCTAATGTAACAAAACAGGGAACATTTGTGAAGTAGCAATAACATGTTGAAAAAAAATACAGTTACAAATGGTAAAACCATAAGAATACATCTAGAAGACCCGCCCCCCTCAAAATACAGTTATAAACCTATGAACCTGCAAAATATCAGTTCTGTTAAAGGAATATTTTCTCTGCCAACTTTACAGAATGTTGAAGCTGTTTTTTGTTGTTTGTTTTTTTTGCTCCCTCATATGCCTTTTTTTTTTGTCTTTATCAAACTTCAGGTTCCAGCAGGCACCAAGGAGCTGCGTCCATCCAACAGCAGCCCAACCTTCATTAACACTCCGAGCCACTCGCAGCTGATGGCTGAGATGATGCAGTCGCACATGGCTAAGGACATCTGTCTGATAGGAGCCAAGGTAGCTTGCACACAATGTGCAGCATACGCACATACAAGCCACCATATCTGATTTTAATAACAAGAGTTCTGTATTGTTACAGGGTTGTGGAAAGTCAGTGATTGCCAGAGAGTTTGCTGAGATGCTGGGTTACAGCATTGAGCCCGTCATGCTCTACCAGGTAAATAAAGGCTGCTCTTTTAAACATAAAAAAAAAAGTAGTTGAAGTTTGCATGTATTTGCATTTATTGTATGTCAAAGCACTACAGAGTTAAATTTTGGTAAACATTTTAAAGAGTTCAGATTGTGATTTCTAAGCTGGATTTTGTATTTCTAGATCCTTGCTTGCTTTAATGCGCTTATTTCTGCCCTATTTCTGTTGCTGTTACAACCAATTGATTTTTTTGGAACTTTTCAATGGCTGGCCTCTCTGGCCATGTCTCCCTTGCAAAAAAATAAACAAAAACAAAGCAGTAATATCAAGGGACTTTCTGGTCAAATTAAATGAAAATACAAAGCATGGGGTGAATTAGAATACAACCACCAGACAGAACATCCCTCCCTTTTTGTGTCAGAAACTTTAAATACTTTATGAGACAATCATGTCTTTTAGATTTGTCCATCTGTTGACGTACATTATGAAACACAAGCAGCTGTCCTTTTTATTTTTACTTCCTCATGCTTTCATAATTAGTTTTGAATCCATCTCAGAAATCAAGTTTTGAGGCAGCAGTAAATGTTAAGGAATAAATGTCCATTCATGTGTTTATCATATCACTGGCAAAGGATCAGACAAGAATGTTGAGAAGGAGGTAAACAAACAGCACACAGGGGTCGTCTTTATGAAAGGAGCCTTTTTAAAGATGGCCAATTTAATTTACTAAAATATTTGTTAATGTCACACTGAAACAGATTTCCTCAAAGTTATGTCAATGAATTGGAACTATAAAATGTATAATAAATGATTGCACGAGTATTCACCCTCTGAGTGCAAGAAGTCATAGTGAAGATCATCCGAGTGCAGTGAATGTGTCTCAGTGATTGTAGTATCTAGACGGCTGTATCTGGAAGGTCCAGTCACTGGTGAATCAGTACTCCTGGATGTTACGGCACCATGAGAACAAAAAACAATTCCAGCAACTCAGTGAAAACGGTTATTAGAAAGCACAAGTCAGAGGATGGAAACAACAAAAATTCCAACTAACTAAATCTACCTTAGAGTACAATGAAGTCCATCATTAAGAAATGGAACATGATAGGGTAGAACATAACAGAATAGGGTATGACACACGTCTAAATCTGCCTGGAGCAGGCTGTCATCAAAACTGAGTGACAGAGCAAGAAAGAGGTGAGTGAAGGAAACCACCACGATACATATGACTCCTCTGAAGGAGTTACAAGCTTCAGCAGCTGTGATGGGCGAGACAAGCAACTGTTGCCTGTTCCTCACCAGTCAAAGCTTTATGGGAGAATGGCAAAGAGAACAACACTCAGAAAAAGCTTGTGTTAAATCTGGAATAGAGCTCACCAGAAAGCGTATGGGAGACTGGCCATCCCTACCGTGAGGTATGGTGGTGGTAGGATCATGATGTAAGGCATGGTGGAGGCAGCATTATGAAGTGAAGCATGGTGGTGGCAGCATCATAATACAAGGATGTTTCCCCTCAACAAACCTGGGAGGCTTGTAAAGGTAGAGGGTAAAATGAATGCAGCCAAGTATAGGGGAATTACTGGAGGACAGCTTGATGCAGTCTGGAAGAGAACTGCAACCACGGAGAAGATTTGTTTTTCCGCAAGACAGTTAGATGAAGCAAACAGCCAAAGCTACACAAAAATGGTTTAAAGACAAGGTAAATGTTTTGTAGTGTAAAATTACAGTGTTTACATGTGCAAGGCTAACTGAGACCTATTCATACAGACTCAATGCTGTAACTAGTCAAATGTGCATTGACTACATACCGATCTTTAAGGACAAGAATACTTATTTTTTCTATTTTTAATTATTTGACTTTAGCTTGTAGAAATCTGTTTCACTTTGACATGAAATAGTGTTTTTTTTTTCTTTTTTTGTAAATTCTTGCCAAAAACCCGACTTATGTTGGTCATGATTCGATGTTGAAAAGCAATACAAGGGAAAATGTACAAGCTGGGTAGACACTACATGTGAGGCTCAGGGGTGCAACAATGTGTGTCTGTCGATGTAAAGCTTAGTTAAACCACCCCCTGTGTGTTTGATTGTCTGAAATGTAGTCAGCCGGGTGACGATTGTGTAAGAAGGGGGTTTGCTTGAGCTTTATGTATTAATGCATCATGCTGCAGCTATTTTTAGCCAGCTGAGGTCGGGGGTGACTTGTGCTGCAGGGAATTGCGGAATCCTTCGCTGGGCAATTCTTCTAGTTAGCTCTGAAAATCCCATTTTTGGAAAACAAAGTGACATGTGAGGTCAGGTTTGTTGGCTTGTGTGTCAATCAGTAGAAATTAAAAAAAAACATTCTCTCGTCATCTCTGAAAGTGCAAACATGTAGACTGTATTATACACACACATATATATATTTAAAAAAGACAATTGAAGGAATATGTGAATTTCCCTCCACCATAGACAAGCTCACAAAGATCTACAACAAAGGATAACTTTTGGTTAGAGCAACTTACTGATTAAATTTTGACTGTGTAGAGAAGCAGCTTTGCAGATGAAAGGAAAAGGTGAGTGAACACAGCTCTTCTCATCTTGTCTTGTGATCAGGTGAATCAGCACCTTACATAAATGTAACTTCTTGGTAAACCAGTGGTCAAATCTTAGTTATTACTCATGTAAATGTTGCAGTACCACACTTCACAAATATAAATATGTAGAAATGGTCTCAGTAGACGCTAATCTATAAAACCTCTTCCATCCTGGAAGTCCCTGTTCTGTTAACTTTATTGTGAATTAAATAAAATGGAAAACAGTTGAACCCAAATGCTTGTAATTGGGATGATGAATGGCTGCTCAATAAGTGGCCTA